CTGTCTTCACATGGCTGTCTACTAAGGACACCAATCGTATTGGATTAGGGGCCCATCCTTAGTTAAGACCTCATCTTAACTAATTATATTTGCCAAAACCTTATATCCAAATAGGTCATATTCTGAAGTACTGTGGGTTAGGACTTCAACATTTCTTGAGGGGGAGGGGTGGGCACAATTCAACCCATGCCACCTGCCTCACTTGACCATATTTCATTTCAGGGCCTTTTAGAGTAGACTTTCTTTGATTTTGAAAACCATTTTTTCTTGGAAAATTGAATAAGTTTTATATTTTCCAAGTTTTGATCCTTTTATTTATTTATTTATTTTAGGCGACTCCATTTTTCCTTTTATCCAAAATCCTCATGACCCAGCAGACTGTTTTGACACTGAGCAGAGAGTGATCATTTCTCCCTGGCTCTTCGAGAGTTCCTAAGTCCTGAAGGTTTATATGAGGCTCTGATTTGAAAGCTTAACTTTGGGACATGGCCTTTCCAGGGCTTTAGGAAGTGATACGGGATTTGGCTTTGCCTCACCTTCGAAACGTACCTGCAGCAGCTGCTATTCTTGCTCTGGAGTGTTTGGCTTTAAATATGTTCCTCGTCAGCAGGATTGGCACCCTGTGTTTTTCTCTTTCATCCATTCTCCTGAATATAAATGTTTGACTTCTTGCAAACGCAGTGCGCTTTCATGAAGAAATAGAGACGACTGACTTTCCCGAGTCAAGGACAGACTGGTGTCTCTCAGGGGTAGTGGCAGACAGCTCCCCAGGCCTGGCTTGGCCACACCAGTGGCTTCAAGGTGTCATGGGCTATGACTGACATCTGAAGGATAGTTTTAGAGGGTCAGGGAAAGTTAAATAGGCATGAAGAAGAAAGATGCATCCTAGCCTAGTTATTAGGAGCAAAGACTGACCAATTGCCGCCTGTGAGAACTTGGGCAACAGCTTAGTCGTCATCTGCAAATAGGATTCATTATATCTGCTTTATCAGTTCACTGTAAGGACTGAATGAGCTAATGCAGGAAACGTGCTTAGCAAATAGTGAGTAGCAGCAATTGTTATTAATATAAAAAGCTCCTGTTGTTTCCCCCCTTTATTTGGACATTCCTTGCGGTAAATTTATTTTCCAACTGGTTTCAGGATCCTGTTCCCTTTGGGGGCATCTGAAGGTCAAGTTTGAGAGAAGAAAAGCAACTAAATGTGTTTAAGGGATGTGGATGGAAATCTGATCAAACATGATTAAAAATAAAAAGATTTTGCCAAGTATTGGGCTTCCCTGGTGGCGCAGTGGTTGAGAGTCCGCCTGCCAATGCAGGGAACACGGGTTCGTGCCCCGGTCCGGGAAGATCCCACATGCTGCGGAGGGGCTGGGCCCGTGAGCCATGGCCGCTGAGCCTGTGCGTCCGGAGCCTGTGCTCCCCAACGGGAGAGGCCACAACAGTGAGAGGCCCGCGGACCGCAAAAAAAAAAAAAAAAAAGACTTTGCCAAGTATTCATGTGATGTCCTGCACTAGCGCTGACACTTTGTTAGGGTAGTAGGGTTCATAGAAATAAACTAAGTCAAGTATTGATTAGTAATTTAAATGTCAAAGAATTAAGCCTGCAATGGAGCAGGCGTTGCAAGCAGTTTGGTTTGGCTGTAAAAATGCCAACATTCCTGAAACAATGAGCTCATCATCAAATTCTTATTCCACGCCCACAAAAGAATCTATGACTTGTTTGCTCGATTTTGTTTTGGTTTTCTGGGCAGCTAAGAACGAAATAGGGCAGTGATTCTCAAACACGTTAGTGCGTTGGAATCCTCTGGAGGGCTTGTGTAAACCCGGATCCTGAATCTTAGCCCCAGAGTTGTTGATACAGTAAGACTGTGGTGGGGCCTGAGAATTTGCTTTCTAATAAGTTCCCCGGCAATGCTGACGCTGCTGATCCAGGAACCACACTTTGAGAACCACTAATATGGAATTTCCTGAGGCCTTATGATGTGGTGGAGACCTCAAGGCATTTTAGTTACAAGGAAGTGGGTTCAAATTCTGGGGCTGTACTTAGTAGCAGAGTTATGTCAAGCAAATAATCTCTCTGAGATCCAGTTTCTCCCTTTTTTTTTTTTTTTGTTTTTTTTGCGGTACGCGGGCCTCTCACTGTTGTGGCCTCTCCCGTTGGGGAGCACAGGCTCCAGACGTGTAGGCTTAGCGGCCATGGCTCACGGGCCCAGCCGCTCAGCAGCATGTGGGATCTTCCCGGACCGGGGCACGAACCCATGTCCCCTGCATTGGCAGGCGGACTCTCAACCACTGCGCCACCAGGGAAGCCTGTCTTCCATTTTTAAATGGAAATAATAAAATCCCCCTCTTTAAGGTCATGGTAACAGTTGAATAAGATGTCTGTGAAGCACCTTGTTCACTGCGTGACATGTATTACTTTAAAAGATTCCATTAATTTCTTTTACTGTAAGATTTTTTTTCATAAGTCATATATTTATTTCTGAATGTTTTGGGCAATGAAGTCTATCAAATGAATACACTGCTCATTTAAATAACTGAAACACTTTGAAAGATTTCACTAAGATTCCATTTCAGAAGTCCTGTGCCATTTTTCACACAGGTGTGTGTGTGTGTAGTTTTTTTTCCTTTTAATCAAACGAGTAGTTCCTCCCCATTAAATTCTTACTAGGTAGCAAGTTGCATAATGGATTGGGAATTTCATCCTTCTCTAGTTTTGTACATTGGAATTTCGGCATATTTTGATGTATAGGTAGCAGAGGGCAGTGAAAAGGTCACAGCTAGAATGGAAACCCTGAGTTTTCATAATTAATGGATAATTAGAGTCTGACTACAGTTTTGTCTTTTGTATTCAAAAGCAGCCATGTGAATATCTCCATGGCACAGAAGCACCAGGGAAGCTTCTAAAACATGTGCAGTCTGACACCTCATTTCTAAAGACCATGGTTCCATATGTCTAGGGCAGGGCCTGGTCATATGCATTTTAATCAACAAAAAATCAATCAACCGATCTAAGAAAGAAATGGAAAATTTTATTCGAGCCCAGCTGAGGATTATGACCCAGGAACAGCCTCTCAGAAAGCTCAGAGAGCTGTTCCACCCTCTAGAAGTCAAAGCACAGTTGTATAAGTTTTTTGAGACAGAGGGCTGTCCATTAAATGATGTATTATTGACAGTTCACACAATCCAGATCTGCAAGTACAAAGGGGTAGGTCGTGATCAAGAAGGAATGTTATCTTTTAAGGAGTTGTCTCGTTGGTGCTGGGAGAATGTTGCTGTTTATGGCTGAGCAGGTATTCCTGCCAATGCGGGAGGTTTGGTCAATGCAGAATGCAGAAACACAGTGCACCGTAGAGGGGAGAGAGGAGGCCAAAGGGCAGAAAAAAATGTTTATGTTTAAATTTTTCTTGTCTTGCCATAAAATATGAATTTTATTTCACAAAAGAGTCAGCCCAGGTGGTACCAAGACTACGTTTTAAGACAGACTAGGAATGGGCTGCAATGTTCAGAACTGCTTTTAAATTCTGCTGCTTAACTAGCTATGTGGACTTGAGCAAATTCTCCAGTCTCCTTCAATCTTGGTGTCTTACACGTGACATGGATCATTCTTACTCATTCATCGGTGCCGTTGTGCAGGTTATAGTTAATGTATAAAAGGTGCCACAGTGCTGGGCATAAAGCGCTCAAATGCTCCGATATTGTGATGGTTCTTCTAAAATGCCAGACAGGGAAGGTGGACAGATAAGATAAACACGAAAGTTCATAAATGAATAGAACTGAAATGAAGCCAGTTGGCTGTGTGAATCCATAAAATATTTATTAAGCCTTGAAGAAAGAGAATTCTCCAAAGATCATGTTGAAGTGACTGATTTCTTACAGGTGGTTTAGATCAGGCACATTTACAATTAGTTCCTAACTTGTTATAATTACTGTTTTAGAATCAAAACTTTATTTTGGGTACTTTAAGGTGAAACAGTGTTGGAATGTACTGAAATAAATTGTTCAATCCAATCTATTGAATCAACAGACTATCATTTTTTTCTGTGCCAGCACATTAATTTTCCATTCACTTTAATGTGACAAGATAATGTCCTTTCATGAAAATATTCAACACTTCAGGAGAGCCTAAATGAAGCCATATTAACATAAGACAACAGAGCCAGTATTACTCAGTAATAGGATAGAAACATCAGTTAGAAAGAAAACATTGCCACTGTAAAGACAGACTTTTATTCAGAGTTAGGAAGTACCATATAAGTACATGTTTACTTGGATTTTTCTCAATTTCTCTTAAGCAGTTTTAAGATATTTTATTCCTTCTGTAGGATGGTCTTTCTCAGCTTACTGACAAGTTTCTAGTTTATGTGCTTAAAATTAGTATCATGGCATTTTTTACTTCCACGCTATTCTTGAAGACCTATGTCAGTGGAGCTTTCAGAAGGGAATTTATCTGCCACGATTGTACATCCATTAAACAAAGCTTAAGAACAGACAGTCCTAATGGGGTTTTCATTTATGGATCCTTTGGTGTAGGTTTTCCCAAGGACAGTGGTGAACATTAATTAAAACATCTTGAAGTCTATAAACTGCAGTTACTTCTAGGTGAGATACAGTGAAGAGCTTTGAAGTATCACTTGAAAAAAGAAGATGTAGGAAATTTCCACTTTCTCACTGCTTTCATGCAGATATCACTTTAAAGCAAATATTCTTCAGAATCACCATGATTAACCCAATTCACTGCTCTAGAGAATGAATGTTTTATATTTTCAATTTGTTACACAAGAGAAGAAAAGGAGAGGTCTTACTATAAATGTGGTAGCTGTCATACTGCCTGCATATCTGGGGTGGGGAGACTCTCTTGAACCACTCCTGAAGTGATAAGAAGGTGTGCAAATTATGGGTTTGTTGTGTGTTTCCAGTAGGCATATGGGAATATGCGTATGTAACATAAATAAAGATGTCACTTTGGACTAGTGGGACTGTCAGATATTTTCTTCTAGGTTGGACACCAAGGGACCATGAGAGATTATCCCAGCTTTAGCGCATCAGGGGATGCTGAAGCGATTCATAAGGCAATCAGAGGAGTTGGTGAGTGATGCTTTACAATTCCTTTTTTATTGTTGAAGCACATCAGGAAGTTAAAGCTAAAAGTGCATGGGTTCAGGTTGCCCAAGTTGCCTTACTCAATTAGAGAAATTATAAGGTACTTTAAAAAAATTGTGAAATAATGCGGCAAAGTATAGGGAACCCAGTTTTATTATATCTTAATATTTGCCATGTTTACTTAATATTAAACACTACCATGACCATCACTGCTACCAACAACCATCGTCATCATCATCATCACCATAAATCATTATAGATACAGTCCCTGACGATTCTGCCTGGATCTCATTCCCACCTCATTCCCTAGAGATAAACAGCATTCTAAATTAGAATTTATTCCCACGAAACTTTTAATTCTGTACTCCATATGTATGTACCTATTGTTGTGCATGGGCACAAACAGTATAACTTGAAATCCTACCTTATGTTTTCTTCTGCAACTTGTTTTTTTGTCCCTTAACATTATGTTTTTGAGATTTATCCATGTTGATATGTTTAGCTCTAGTTCATTAATTTTTAACTGCAGAATAGTTTATTATCACATTGTAAGATGGGAATAGTGAGTGAACACTTAAATTGCCTACAGTTCTTTCCTATTACAATATAAAAATATTGCATTGAATAGTCATGCTTATGTCTTGTTGTGCACATTTGCTAGCACCTCTCTAGAATATAATGGTTGAAATGTCTGGGTTGAAGGTAATGTTCATCTCCAGATTAACTAGAAATTTTGCCACACTGCTCTCTCAAATAAATATGCAAATTAGTATTCCTGCCAGCAATATATGAGACTTCCTCTTTCTCCGTATTCTCATCAGTACTTGCGGCAGTCATCCTATTCAGTTTTTCCAATTGAGTGGATCTAAAATTGTACCTCATTCTGTATCTGTTTCCTTCCTCCTCCCCATCCCCCATTATTGATGCAGTTAAGCATCCTCTCTTGTTTATTTTCTTCTTTTTCCATGAATTACACCTCCATATCTTTTATCCATTTTTCAGTTGGGTTGTCTTCTTTGTGCTTGGCAAGAAAAAATTTTTACTTTTTAATTTAAAATTTATTTTTTAAAATAAATTCTGGATACAAAACTTTTTTAAAAAATTACAAGCTATGAAAATACCTTCTCCAAGAATGTACTTTTCTTCTTTTTTTTTTTTTTTTTGCCATACGCGGGCCTCTCACTGTTGTGGCCTCTCCCATTGCGGAGCACAGGCTCTGGACGCACAGGCTCAGTGGCCATGGCTCACAGGCCCAGCCGCTCCGCGGCATGTGGGATCTTCCCGGACCGGGGCACGAACCTGTGTCCCCTGCATCGGCAGGTGGACTCTCAACCACTGCGCCACCAGGGAAGACCTGTAATTTTCTTTTAATATTGGCTACAGTAACTTTTATCGCATAGAAGTTTTAAATTTTAGTGAAATTAAGTTTACCAGTATTTTTTGTAATGATTTGTACTTATTGTGTCTTTTCTATGATGAGCTCATAAAGATATCCTCCTGTATTTTCTCCCCAAAATTTTACAATCTTATTTTTCCCACTGAGATCTTTAATCTGCCTGGAATTAATGTTTGTGAATGGCATTTAAATCTAATTTTATTTTATCTCAAGTGGCTATGTAATTGTCCCAGTGCAATCAATTGAAGAGTTCATCCTTGCCACACTGATTTGTAATGCCACTGCTGTCCTATAAGTTTTGCTATTTTTCTGCTCTCTGTTACATTCCATTGGTCTGTTTGCCTCTCACTGTCTCAATATAACATTGTCATAATTACTATTATGACTATTACATAATTATTATTATTTTATAATGACACTTAGTGTCTAGTAAGGCAAGAGATTCTCTTGGCTTTGCCCTGTCCTATGAATTTGAGGGTCAGTTTGTAAAGTTCCATGAATTATACTATTAAGGTTCATAATAGTAATTATACTATTACTATCAGTGTAATATTATTGTATTTCTGCCTGTTTAGGTTTTTTTTAATTGCTATTTTTAAATGAAAGTTATTTCTTTCTCTCCCTCTTTGATTGCCTATTTAAACACAGGGTTGAATAGACTTTTCCATGAAGTTAATGTCAATTTGAATGAACTAGTGGTCTTTAAATTCTATCGCTTGTCTTTCTTCCTTAACATTATGTTTCTTCACTAATTTACACATTTTGATTGGCAGGCCCGCTTTGAGAAGGAGGCTTTTGTTTGTAAGCACTACTCCCAACACCAAAACCAGGTGTCATGGTGGCATTTGCCTTAGGGACGTGTCAGATCCAGCTTCTGAACCATGAGACATCTTGGTTTAATTTCTGGTCTTGAGCATGTAGCACGTGCAGAAATAAGAGAGGAGAAATTGCCTGGAGTACAACCTACATGTAACTGTGGGTAGTTAGTTATGTCTGGAGTCTAGTGGCAAAGGGTATAGAGATGCAGAGAAGGGGGTAGGAAATTAGAATATGAGGTGGGAGCTAGGTCCTAATTAATTGGTGCACAAGCTAAGGGGCTTAAACTTCATCCCGAAGGTTACGGAGAATCATTAGAATTTCAAAAAAGGAACTGACATGATCTGCTGCATTAAAAAAATTTACTTAGAAAAAAAATTTACTTAGGCAGTAATATACAGTATAAATTATAAGGGGGTCAAGTTAGGAGGCTGTTGAAGTTTCTAGGTAAAATATGATGAGTGCACAGTGGCAGAGAAGAGGACAAATCCAAGAGATGCAGGTATTGTTACAATGTAAAAAGTAAGGAAAAGAAAGGAGTATAACTCCCAGCATCTTTGGTTGGATGACTGCATCTGTAGTGGTGTCACTGGTGAGGGAACATAGGATGAAAGACAAGTTAGAGAAGAAATAGAATGAATCCAACCTGGAGCAGCTGAGTTTGAGATACTTGTAGTTGGAGGTGTCTAGTCGTGCACCAACTCAGATACCTTTATAGGTCCAAGTTGATAATCAGACTCCAGGGCACAATGAGGGTTAATCTAATTCTGTTTACTTAACTATGCAGAAGAATACAAGACCAAAGACCCCGTGGGGCAACATCTGTCACTAGGAGTCCCAGCAGCTAATCAAGTACACCGTTTCTTTTGCCCCGTCATTCATGTAGAGTGTGTACCACTGCCGTGGGTGTAAGGTGTGTGTGGGTCACCTCAACACAGGGAAGTTGAGCCTTGAATTCCAGTGGATCTTTTAGACCATTCTAGTCATGCAGGCCCAAGACAGAAGCCAACTCACAGCCCCCAACCCAGGGGCAGTCCTCTACCACAAAGGAGCAGACACAACTTCTCACATTATCTTAATACTATAATTACCAAAAAAATAGTGACCTGGAGGTTGTTTTCAGGCAGGCCAGCATCAGCCCTTTACTTGTACTTACAACAGGTGGTTAAGTATATGGGTTTGAAATGCCTGAAAGAGGTATGGACCACTGGTAGAAATAGATGTTCTGGATTAAGAGATTTGGGTTCAGATTCTTGCTGTGCCACTTAAAAGCTGCCTGACTTTGGCAAGTGAGGTACGTTTTCTAAATGTTAGTGTCTTTATCTTTAGAACAGCTTAATCATACCTACTGCCCAGGGCCCTGTGAATATTAACTATGACAATGAATAAAAGGTGCCTAGTGTGTGGTAGGTTCTTGATAAATGTCAGTTCCTTTTTTTCTAGAGGAACAAAAATGACTTTTTATATCAAATATGGAGACAGAAAGATAAAAGGGGATAAGACAGTAACTGGACCTCAGAAGGATGAAAAAACCTACTTCCAAAGCAGTATGTTCTTTGTGCCACTTCTCTGTCTGATATACGGATAGGAATATTTGGGCAATGATGGTTTTCTTCCCCCTGAACTATCCAAATAAAATTCATTTTCTTTTCCAAAAGCCAAGCAATCAAAGAAATAAAGATGCCAACCTGGTAAGACCTGGAAATTAAAAATTAAAATGCCTTCCTCTCTGCATTTGTTTCAGACCCTGAATCATTTTTCTTTTGTTCACAACAGATATTAAGCATATTTGAGTTGATGGTGAATACAGTTATTTTCGTTTCATGTAGGAACCGATGAGAAAGCGCTCATTAGCATTCTGACTGAGAGGTCGAACGCACAGCGGCAGCTGATTGCTAAGGAATACCAAGCAGCATACGGAAGGGTAAGATTTCATTAACGTAACAGGCAGTAAAGGCCTCATCACTAATGGACCAAGGCTGCTCCCATATGATTATGCCCACGGATCTTTTGTTTCAGGCCAAGTGTAACAGAAAGTCCCCTATGTATCCGGTCAACAGCCTGGAATAGGAGTCCTGGTCTTTTCCCTGAACTGTCTGAGTGGCCTTGGACATGTTATTTGATCTTTCTGGGCCTCAGTTATCTTCACCTGTCGAATAAGGAGAGTTGCCTTGGATCAGTGGCTATAAACCGGGAAGGATTTTGCTTCCCAGGGGATATTTGACAGTGTCTCCAGACATTTGGATTGTCACAACTGGTGGGAGAGGGGGGGGATGTTTCTGGTATCTCGTGGGCAGAGGTCAGGGACGCTGCTAAACATCCTACAGTGCGCAAGACAGTCCCCCACAATAAAGAATTATCTGATCAATTACCTGATAAATCCTGTCTTAGATGATCTTTAATTTCTTTTCCAACTTTAATATGTTTATGTAATTATAGACTTTTTTTTTAAAATTTGTTCGGCAGATGAATATTTCTTCAGTACCAGAAACTATACAAGAACTATTCAAGAACATTTTGTGTGTCTTTTCCAAGCAGTTTATTTGTTCAATAATAAACTACTCTATGTCAGGAGATATTCTAGACATTGGAGATTCACTGGAACAAAAAGCAGAGCCTCCTCTCTTTAATGGACCTAACATTCTATTAGAAAAATAATAAATATATAAATAAAACAAATTCAGATATTGGCAGGTGCTATGAAAGTATTAAAATGGATGATATGCTAGAGCATGACTGGTGAATGGCTCCTTTAGATCATGTGGTGAAGAAACCTCAGTGACAGGTTGTTACCTTACTCTCAATGAAGACTAAACAATACTCAGGCTTCTGCTCTGCTCGATCTGGGGAAGAGCATTTCAGACAGAATGTCCAGCAAATGAAAAAGCCCTGAGGCCAAAACAAGCTGGGAGTACTTAAGAAACAGGAAGAGTTCTAATATGGCAGGAGTATAGACAGTAAAGGGTGACAGAAGGAAGAGATGAGGTTGAAGAGAGGCTTAGAACATGCCAGACCTTGGGGTCTTGGTGCAGAGTTTAGATTTTATTCTAAGAACAATAGGGAACAATTGGAGGTTTGTAAGAAAGGAAATACTATAACCTAATTTATATTTTTTGAAGATTATTTTAGCTTCTGTGGCTGATGAACTGTGTAGGGGAAAGGGTGGAAACACAAACCAGTCAGGCTATTGGGTCCAGAACTGAGAGTGTGTAGTGACCATCCAAGGCAGCTGAGGCATCACCTGTCAGTGTTCTCTGAGCCCCTGGGCTCCATTAAGACACCCTTCTCTGTGTTCCCTTTATTAGATACTTAACATATTATGTGGAAATTTAACTTTGACTATTTCTATTTTTCTCATTAGGGAGTAATGTCCTAGGGGTAAGGATTGTGTCTGACTCACCAATTAAGTGCCTAACACAGAGCAGGCGCCCCGTAAACTTTTGTCAGCTTAACTGAATTGCCAAGCTTCTGGGCAAGGCAGCCTACTCATGTACAGGGATTGTGAGTGATCCATTGGCCTTTCAGGATTTCCAAAATACGGAGGAAGGATGGAGCTGAAGGGTGACAACCATGTCTCACAGTGGGACAGAATGAGAGCATGTGAAGTAAGATTCAGTTGGAAAGTCTTGGGTTGAGGACAGATAGGGGTGGAATTTAGCATTTGGAGAGGAAACACCCCATGATGACTACAGTGGCTCCGCTCCATCCCATTTGTTTTGGCTGGAGCATGCCCCTGCTGGGCCCCCAAGTGTTATGGAAGATGTTGGTCTGTACCCACATTGTCATAGCAGTCTGGGAGGCTTCCAGCCTCTGTTTCAGGGCTGAAAATAATCAAGAGCAGGAAATATAATTATTCAATAACACTCCTTTGGATATTAAAAATGGAAACCATGTTACCTGCCTTCAAGCAGGGGAGATGGCCCGTACTTATGTAATGTATGAAAACACTGCTGAAGGACAGCATCAATAAGTAAGGTCCCCCTATTACCACATTTTGGGTTTCCCCTGTTGTTGTTGCCAGAAAACTGCTTTTGATGCCTCCTAGTTCCATGCTCTTACCAGAGGCAAATGACCAAGCACTGTCTTCCCTCCCCTTTTCCCTTCAAAACTCTTTGGCAGTTACCGAGAAGCAAGGCTGGACTAGAGCACCTCCCAGTGAAGCTGGGTGTGAATTACAGGGTTCCTCCTCCCCTTCCTCTTCCCTCACCCCAACCCAAGCACTGAGAGCATCAAGGGCCTGGGAAATGCATTTTAATACACAGTTCCTATCTGTGGCCCTCAGAGAAGCTTCTTCACTGGCTTCCCTTCAGAAAACCGTCTATAAAACAGAACATTTTGGAAGTGATCATAAAATGCAGACTAATATCCATAGAAATATTTTCACCATTTCTGTTTATCTCCTGTGGATGGGCATGCTTTTGTCTGAATTCATACATTCGTGTTTGTCTTTCACTAGGTGACTTTGGAGGAAGAGAAAGGAGAAGTATTTCATACTTTTCTCTTCGGGTTTTTAATTTTAGGAACTGAAAGATGACTTGAAGGGTGATCTCTCTGGCCACTTCAAGTGTCTCATGGTGGCCCTCGTGACCCCACCGGCAGTGTTTGATGCGAAACAGCTGAAGAAATCCATGAAGGTATGAGACCTACACAAGCTGTTTCTGCCCAGCACTTGATTATCAGAAAGAGTGACTTTCTTCTGGTGCACACTTGAGATATGGGTGTAAAGGTGATGGATTTGGAGATTCTGTGCTCTCTAATTAGTAGAACAGCCCTGAAATGGGAAGCAGTTGTGGAACCTTAAGCCCACATGTTCCTGGCCTGAAAGGATATGGTCAGAGCCTAATTTTGTTTGTTTTTTTTGACCTGAGGTATCAAATTCTTTATTTTGTTGTTATTGAGTCAACGGCACCATCATTAACCCCATTGTTTAGGTCAAAAACCTAGAACTATCCTTGATCCCTTGCCTTCTCTCACACTTCAAAGCTCCCAAATCTATCAACAAGCCCATTACCTCCACTCCATAATCCATCAAAAATGTGTGCATGTCCCTCCTTCCAGATCCATTGCTTTCATTCTCGTTCAACCACTATCATCTCTTGACTGGACCATGTCAGTATCCCCGGAACTGGTCCCTTTGCCTCTATTTTTGCCCTCCTCAAATCCATTCACCACAGAATAGCCAAAATTATTTGTATAAAGTTACTTTTAGAATCAGATTATACTATTCACCTGCATAAATCTCCAATGGTTTTGACTACTGAACATCCAAACTCCTTATCATGACCTTCATCACCCAACAGAGTCTGGCTCCTGTCTATCTCTACGGCTTTTTAAAATTCTATCTGTATCAGTCAGGCTTCCCCAGAGAAGCAGAACCAGTAGGCAGGAGGTATAGAGTAAGAGACTGATTGCAAGGAATTGGTTACACGATTATCCAGCTTGCTAGGCAAATCTGAAATCTGTAGGGCAGCCTGTTAGGAAGGGCAGGCTGGAACTCTTAGCACAAGCTGGAGCTCCTGGCCACAGGTAGAATTTCTGCTTTTTCAGAGAAGCCTCAGCTCTGCTCTTAATTAAGGCTTTTTGACTGAATTAGGCTCACGTAGAATATCTAAGGTACTCACCCTTACTTAAAGTCAATTGATAATGGACTTTAGCTACAAAATACCTTCAGAGAAACACTGGATTACTGTTTGATTGAATAACTGAGGACTGTAGCCTGGCCAGATTGACACATAAAGCTGATCGTCACACCCTCTCCTCCACTGCCGGCCACCCCAGTTCAGTGCTGTAGCTGTACTGGCCTTCTCGCTGCTCCTTGGACATTCTCAGCTTATTCCTATCTTGAGGTCTTTATATGTGACATTCTTTCCCTCAGGAATGATTTTCTTCCAGATATTTTCTATTAATTCACTCAGTTTAATTTTTTAAATTGCTATCTATTACTATCTAAAATTATCTTGTTAATTTTTTGGTATTTTACATATTGATATTTTACGTATTTGGTGTTTTGTTGATTTACGTTTTTTTTTTTTCAATCCAATTAAAAGGCAAACCGCCATCATATCAGGGAACCTCATCCCTCGAGGAAATTCCTCTCTTCCTAGAGGAAAGCCTGCAATGAGATAGGTGCTCAACATATTTGTTGACAGGAAGGAGGGAAAGGAAGGAGTCCAGGTCTGAAGCAAGGCTCTGCCTTCCCATCAGAGTTATTTTCTTTTCTGTGGGAGAGGTGTGGGCACCCAAGAAGCAGATGGCAAGATGGAATTAAATGTACAAGAGATTTATTGGGGGAAATCCTTGTGAAGGATAAAGAAGAGACAGAGCAGGGTAGGTGGGGTGAAACTTCTGACTGCAATACAGGTCTGACACCTGTGAAAGGAGAGAGGGACAGAAGGAGGCTCAGATAGGAAGAGCTTCAGTCTGTAGTGCTGCTGTAAGAAAGCCACGGCAAGCTGATGGGGAGTCCTTGAGCCAAGTGTGCCCTTTGGAGGGTCCTACATGGGGCAGGAATGGCCCAGCTCCTGTTCCCATTCCATGCGCAGTCATGGCTGAGAGCAGCCTGGAGAGAGCATGACCTTAGTGTGAGCTGTGTGACAGAACCAAAGGTGTGGCAGTTGGAGGCTGCCAACTAACTACATTCTTGGCAGTATATCTCCAGACATGAAATCTCAACAGTGCATTTCTATGGCTGCCACATGGGGGACAGTTTAGCAGGTGAAATGATAAGAGTTAGATTCGCCAGCAAGGATTAGAAATGTTTCCCTTCTATGTAAAAGAATTCCAAAGGAAGCAACCCAGAGCTGGGTACCATGGAACCATCATTATCAGACCTTCAGTCTTGAGGTTCTGCCATCTTCAGCCTGTAGATTCCGCTTCTTGACTAGATGGCAGCTCAGCATCCAGCCATTATATCTTTATTGCCATCAACTGGAAAGAGTAAGAGACAAAGACGTGTTCATCCTTTCTCTTTAAGGACTCTCTGAAATTGGACGTGATGCTTCACATATATTCCATCGATCAGAATTTAGTTATATGGATACACCTAGCTCTAAGGGAAGCTGAAAAATATGGTCTTTATTTGCTTAGCTTTGTGCTAAGTTAAAAAACGGGGGTTCTATGACTAATCAAGGAAGATAAAAGAGATACTGGATCTTCGCAGTTTTGCCCTAAACCTAAAACTGCTCTAAAATAAATCAGGGAAAAAAATAATAATAATAAAATAAAATAAATCAGGAGCTTGGGATTAACATACACACATTACAATATAAAGATAGATAGCCAGCAAGGACCCACTCTATAACACAGGGAACTCTACTCAATAATCTGTGATAACCTATATGAGAAAAGAATCTGATAAAGAATGAATATATGTTTATGTATAACTGAATCACTTTGCTGTACACCTGAAACTAACACAACATTGTAAATCATCTGTACTCCAATAAAATTTTAAAAAAGAAGAACAACCAAAAAACCCAAAAAAAGTTTATTTAAAAATAAGTAACTAACAGTGGCGCAGTGGTTGCGAGTCCGCCTGCCGATGCAGGGGACACGGGTTCGTGCCCCGGTCCGGGAAGATCCCACATGCCGTGGAGCGGCTGGGCCCATGAGCCATGGCCGCTGGGCCTGCGCGTCCGGAGGCTGTGCTCCGCAACGGGAGAGGCCACAACAGTGAGAGGCCCGTGTACCGCAAAAAAAAAAAAAAAAAGTAACTAACAAAATAAATAAATAATTTGAAAAGGAGAGCTACTGAAGGGAACTAGGAATCTGTCACAGAGGGACAGAATTCAGCCTCTTTTCTTATGCTACTTTGGCCTTATTTGGTCAAGTCCTAATGTAAATGGCTTCTGTTGAAGTCTCAGTGTGATTCAGTGACCTCAGTATAAACCAAGACTCAGGAAACACTAGTCCCCAAACCAACTAGGCTCATGACATACATTACTGAGGCTTTAAAAATCTCCCTGAATGAAGAGGACGATCCATGCTGACCAGCCAGGTGTATTGGTACAAGTATGGTCTCATTCAAAAGAATTGCAGAGCCCTTTCTAAATACAGTGACATATGTGAATGCTCACTTTTGGTACTGAATGACATAGGCTTTCCCTTTATACTAGTTCTTCCTGGAATTATTCAAAGGAGTTTTATACTAGAGTAGGACATTTTCTTTAGAAGCTTAATATCAATTAACTTCAGATGATTCATGTTATTTTAATACTAAAATATATGGAAAATTAGAAAACCACTTTAGAGCAATAGAGGACCTTATGTTGATTGACTAAAAACTGTTCTTTTCACCTGTAGAAAACAAGATGTTAAGACCGCAATGCATGAAACTAGGGGTTTTTTTAAGTGTTCTAAAAATAGATTTCCTTTTTCTTCTTAGGGCACGGGAACAAATGAAGATGCACTGATTGAAATCTTAACCACCAGGACAAGCAGGCAGATGAAGGAGATTGGCCAAGCCTACTATACAGGTGATCTTATTTTCTGCCTACCTTTACCCCTGTTCACACCTATAGGAGCCAATGCTGCTTTTCCCAGAAACCCACCAATCTTTCTTCACAAGTGGTTTTGAGGGAAGCAAGACTGTAAAAAGGAAGACACATTCTAGAATGGGCTAAGGACTGTGGATTTTTGAAGAAAATTTTAATATGATCTGAGCTGGGAACTGCTACATAACAGTGGCATTAATGCTTTGCATTTGTAACATTACAGCTATAGTGGATTTCACTCTCAGCAATCACTGCTTAATTGAATCAACCATTTTCCTCAATGTAAGACACTCAAATCATTGTATATTCATATTATGTGTTAAAAACCGCTCATGATTTCTGGTGTGGGAAATTAGATGAACCGTTTAGAGGATGTGCTGAGCACGTGGCTTCAGTATCATTAGCTAAAGCCCTAATAGTCTGTTAGCTGTGTAAAAAGTGGAAAGCCCCTGCAATGCAATTCGGACACCAACAACTCACGGTTAGGGTGACTTCACGGGTTAAGGGCACAGTCCCCACAGAACCACTCTGACTTCAGACACCAGCCACAAGCTCAGGTGTTCCCAGGCCACATGCGCTTCTGACCAAATGGCGACAGATTCTTACTACCCCCTCAGGTTCAATAACTCACTAGAGGGGCTCACAGAACTCAAGCAAGCTCTATACTTACAATTATGGTTTTCTATAAAGAATGTTAATCAAGACTGGTGGAGTGAGGAGATGCATAGGGAAAAGTCTGGGAGGGTCCTGCCATGTCTTCAGGGTGCATCCCCCTCCCAGCCCAGCCATGTCTCACTGCCAACCAGGGAGGCTCACTTGATCTGTGGTGTCCAGGGTTTTTAGTGGGGTTTTATTACACAGGCATGATTGACTCCATCACTGGCCATGTGACTGAACTCCATCTTTAGTCCCCTCCTCCCGCTAGACGTCAGGCTGATATCATGTGGCTTAGAGCCTTAACCCTTTAGTCGCATTGGTTGGTCTTGGTGTGACCAAGCTCCATCCGGAGTCATCTTGTTAGCATAAACTCAGGTGTGGTTCAGGGGACCCTCCACGAATAACAATGACATTCTTATTATTGGGGAAATTGTAAGTATTTAGAAGTTACCTCCCAGGAGTAAGGGACAAAGACCAGCCCAATTCTTATTAAACAACCGCTCCCTGTCACCACCTCCAAGTACCTTAAGGGAGCCATGGTTTCTATGTTTTTGTATCAGGGTGGTCAGCTGTGTATTAGGAAACTTCTGCGGTAGGAAAGGTACAAAAAACGGATATACCGGCCCCCGGTGGGTGTTAAAGAGGTTACTTTGAGAAATTTCCATTAGAAGTTAAATACCTCAATGATAGGTAAGTGCCTGTTTCATTGTTGGTATGCCAATGAGGTCTAGTCAGAAAAACAGAAATGCACTAGGTATTTTAACAGAGTGAATTTAATGTAGAGAATTGCTTAAGTACCTTTTTGGAGGACTGAAAAAGCAAAACGGAAACACAGCTCAGAGGTATAATCCTCAAGGCTGGGACGACAGAGGAAGAGATTGGGATTTTCAGAAACTAGAAGCTCAGAGGAGGGCATCAGTTTCTGGTGTTGGTACTTCAGCGGCTCAGAGGAGAGACCCTAGGAATTGGAGTTCAGATCTCTGTGAAGGGGAAGGGTCTCCATCTAGCTGGAGCTAGTACCTCCAAGGGCATGTAAACAGGTGACTTGTTCTAGGAGCCTGGAACCAACTGCTGCTGTCAGGGTGAAAGCCTGTCACTGGGTTGACACTGATGTGAATCACAAGCCAATAATAGCGTGTCCTTCCTTCCTCTTCCTGCCTTCCATCTCATCTCCCTCTGCTCCCCCCATTGGTGGAAACTGACAGGGAGGTGGAGGATGGGGGATAAAAGAGAAATGTTATTTGCAGAGTCCCAACCCCAGCTCCACAAAGCAAGGTATAGAAGGGCAAATTTGGGACTGTCTAGTAGAGAGCCTTCTTTTGGGCAAAGTTCTCCCACCAGGTCACCTTGTAGACAGCTGGCCACTTATAGTCAGATGCCAGCCCTGGTGCAGTCAACTGTAGCAAGAGTGATGGCATCATGTAATGTGCAGTGGTGACCCATGCATTAGAAATCCATCAGAGGACCTATCAACTTGGCTCTCATAAAAGGACCAGGCATACTGAGTGGCTCACACACTACAATGATACAATAGCACCTAAATGAATAGAAAGCTAAATTCTGAACTCTTTGCAGTATTCTAAAGTTAATGGTGCCTGAGAGAACATTGAATCAGGATCAAGAACTCTAAGTTCAGCTTCTGCACTATTAAAACATTGTATCTGTTTTTCTGTACCCTATTGTGTCTCAAAATGCATAAGGTAGTTTTCAACTTGCATCAAAATAATTTTCATATTTTTAGTCTAGTTTCCTGCAAAATACCTGGGGTAGAGGAGAGGCGTGGGAGGCTGTGTGAGACTCATGTAGATAATTCTAAAATTATAAAATACTTCCCCAAATTCTAACAGTTGAGAGCTTCATTTTTTTGGCTTGATTTTTTTTTTTTTTTTTTTTTTTTTTTTTTTGCGGTACGCGGGCCTCTCACTGCTGTGGCCTCTCTCATTGCGGAGCACAGGCTCCGGATGCGCAGGCTCAGCGGCCATGGCTCACGGGCCCAGCCGCTCCCCGGCATGTGGGATCTTCCCAGACCGGGGCACGAACCCTTGTCCCCTGCATCGGCAGGCGGACTCTCAACCACTGTGCCACCAGGGAAGCCCTTGGCTTGATATTTTTAAATTAAAAAATTTTTTTCATAGAGTGAAGGAAGGAGAGATGTAACAACAATATGACTATTAGGGAAAGTGATGCCTACTAAATGTTATTACTTAGATAAATAATCTGTCTTTATAGTGGATTTTGTTTACTTGAATTGCTCTGGAAAATTATAGATTTCATAAAAAGCGACTTATTAAAATCACGCTGGAAGAATTTCTCTCTCAACACAGTTCTTGCTATTAGATAATCTCACATCACTTTCTATAGTCGTCTTTTACTGATTTGAAAGGACAAGCATTCGTATGACTAATTTTATAGCGGTCTTGAGGATGATGCAGGTGGAGTGCAAATAGCCACCTGGTGTCAGCTACATCCAGGTATACAGTGGCTCGAAGAGAATCACTGCTCCATGGGTGGAGCAGAACAGAGGTTTAAAATTCAGTGGACACTGCACATCACAGGCTATGCAAAAGGAGCTACAACTATTCAGTACTAAAAATATGCGAACACACAGTTGGCATTTGTTATGGGGAAACAGTATGTTTTCGGGAAGCTTTCTGACTTTTGAGAGCTATGAAATAATACATTCTAACTGTATGCATTAAGGTTAGGGTTAGAGTCAATAAAACAGAAAAATAACAGTGGTTTAAATAAGATAAACATTTATTTATCTCCTATGTAGAAGCAGTCTGGAGGTAGACAATTCTAGGACTGGCATGACAGCGCCTCAAAACTTTCAGGAACCCAGGCCCCTTCCTGCTTATTTTTATGCCATCGCTCAGATATAGTCCTGCCTAGACCAAGATGGCTGCCCAAGCTGCAAGGATCAATCTACACACCAGGCAGTAGGATGGAGTAAGGGACTAAGATTGGCATGAGCCATCATTAAGGAGATTTCCCAGCAATGTCACGTAGGTCTGCCTACGTTTCATTGCCAAGAGGAGAGCTGAGAATGTGGTCTTTACACTGTGTGCATTATACCTTGCTTAAGGCCAGGGTTCTATTCTTATGGAAGGCGGACATAATAGAAATTGGAAAGCAAACTAACAGCTTGCCCATCCTAGCTTTCTCACTATACCTTCCTTAGTGCCTTTGTCAGATAAAATGAACCATGATTTGATCCAGAATGGCAGCCGTTTCTGTTCTTGTGCATCTGTCACACCACACACTGCAGTAATAGTTACAAGAAGAATGTATCCATATCAGAAGAGCACTAAAAGATTTTTTAAAAAAAGAAGAAACAAGATTTATGTTATTTGACATTTTAAGCTTTTCTGTGTTTTATAATAATATTTTTTAGTTCATCAAGGCTTAATTTCATTCTTATCTGGTTTCAGTGTATAAGAAGAGTCTTGGAGATGAAATTAGTTCTGAAACATCTGGTGACTTCCGGAAAGCTCTGTTGACTTTGGCAAATGTAAGGTTTTATGTTTTACTTTTTAAGTCCCCAATAAGCTGCATGGTCAATAATAGTTTTTAGGGTGTTTGAAAATAACCAGAGTGAGACGATGAGATGGCAGTTTTCCTTATGAAATGATTTGTTCATCTTACATTTGCATTGCCACCATGCAGTATAATATTTAACCACCCTCATAAAGGTATAACATAGTGATGTAACCAAAAAATCTTGTTTTGGTCAGTATATGAATTAAATGTATTTTGATCAGGTTTCATAATACATTAGAAAATGTTCTGCACATTCATCTGGAAGGAAAATAATTGTTCATTTCCATTTTGTCTCCATTTTTAAGAACATGTTGATTTTCTTCTGGACTTGAAAGAATATATATTTCTTTTGGTAGCACTTAAATTAAGTAGGAAGCATGATACAGATGAATTATCTTCAGAGATGGGTGTATCAGTCTCAGGATTAAAAAAAGGTGGCTTGCTGGAACTTCATCCTTGCCCTCTTTGGAAGAGCTGCTAAACCATTCATCACCATGTGACCAAAAGAGACCACACCTTGCCGTCTCTTTTTAGGAGGGTCTTGGTTTTATAAAAAAGGTGGTGAGGTCAAGGATGAGATAGAGTCATAGGTGTGTGTAAGAGAGAAAATGATTTAAGCCGTATCTCAACAGCCTCTTTCAGCTGATTTAAACAGCCCTTAATGTGTGAGAAAATCCCAACAACCATCCCAGCCTGAGGGTTAAAGCAGCACTTGGCAAAGTGAGGCATTATGCCACTAAGGAACAGTTTATCCTAATTATGGTTTCAGTTGTTTCCAATGGTGACAACCTTATGACGTTTGAACCTACACACCCAAACTGATGAGGTATCGCTGCAAACATACGATCCCCCAGGTCTGTATTCATAAGTGCAGATCTGCTTGTGTGCACGTGAGCACACACGCCCACAGAAGGCAGTGGAGAGCAAGGCTCCTGGGCAGGGTTTCAGAATAAGACCTGGAGTCTGCTGCTCCTCTGCCGCCTGCTAGCTTGATATGCTGAGACGAGTTACCTTAAGTCAAGCCTCAAAGCCTTCATTTCACATCTGTTCAATTAAAATAATAACAGTACCAGCCTCAGAGCGTGTTGAGAAGATTAAGAGAGAAAGAGTGTGAAATACTTAGCACAGAGAAAGTTATCACTACGTCAGTACGTGGTGGTGCTGGCTTATTGTAATTAATACCAGTGATCATCAGCGTTTTTATTTTTGGAGCAGAGTGACTGATGAAAGGAGAACAAGAAGGCAGCAAACTAGGGATGACTAGTTAGAGCAGAGTAGCTGCAGCACTGAAAGAAACCGAGAAAAGAAATCATGCAAAAATCAGGCAGGCCGGGGCTTCCCTGGTGGTGCAGGGGTTAAGAATACACCTGCTGGTTCACGGGACATGGGTTCGAACCGTGGTTTGGGGGGATGCCGCGGAGCAACTAAGCCCACGTGCCGCAACTACTGAGCCTGCGCTCTAGAGCCCATGAGCCACAACTACTGAAGCCTGTGTGCCACAGCTACTGAAGCCTGCGTGCCTAGAGCCAGTGCTCCACAACAAGAGAAGCCACCACAATAAGAAGCTTGCGCACCGCAAGGAAGAGTAGCCCCTGCTCGCCACACCTAGAGAAAGCCCGCACACAGCAATGAATACCCAACGCAGCCAAAAATAAATTAATTTAAAAAGAAAAAAAAAAGAGTAGTTTAAAAAAAAAAAATCAGGCAGGCATACAAAGACCTAATGTTTGCAAATAGGAACAAATGCATTTTTAAAATTTTATTTATTATTTATTTATTTATATTGAAGTATAGTTGCTCTACAATATTATATGTTACAGGTGTACAGTATAGTGATTCACACTATTTAAAGGTTATACTCCCTTTATAGTTATCATAAAATATTGGCTCTATTCCCTGTGTTGTACAGTATATCCTTAGAGTGTGTTTTATACCTGATAGTTTGTACCTCTGACTCCCCTACTCCTATAATGCCCCTGCCCCCTTCCCTCTCCCTGCTGGTAACCACTAGTTTGGAACAAATGCATTTTTAAAGTATTATAGCCAAATGTTTCATTCACCTATAATTTGCAAAATAATTCAGGCAGTCTTCTTTTCCTTCTCCATCTCCCATCTTGCTATAATGTGCTGAATTATTTGTGTACAAGCACACACACTTAGCCACAGAGCCTTCAACAGTAGAGTTAGTGGGGAATCTTTGAGGTTTTGGTTTATTTTAATAGACTTTATTTTTTAGAGCAGTTTTAGATTTGCAGAAAAATGCAGCAGAAACTACAGAGAGCTCCCATATGCCACCCCCCATCACAGATAGCCCTGTTGTTAACATCTGCACTAGTGTGGTACATTGATGAATGAATTAGGTGATGAATGAATGATAAAAGAATTAGATGATGAATTAGATGATGAATGAATGAACTGACACATTATTATTAACTAAAGTCCATAGTTTACATTAGGATTCACTCTTCGTGTTATACATTCTATGCGTTTTGACCGATGTGTGATGTCTTGTATCCACCATTACAGTATCATACAGAATGGTTTTACTGCCCTAAAAATCATCTGTGCTCCAGCTCTTCACCCCTCTGTTTCTCCCTCTGAACGCCTGGTAACCAGTGATCTCTTTATCTCTATAGTTTTGCCTTTTCCAGACTGTCCTATAGTTGGAATCATACAGTACGCAGGCTTTTCAGACGGCCTCTCTTCGTGGCTTGATAACTCATTTCCTTTTTATCACCGAGTCCTATTGCATGGTATGGATATGCCACAGTTTATTCACCTGTTGAAGGGCAGCTTGGTTGCTTCCAGGTTTTGGCAGTTATGAACAAAAGCTTCTGTAAACATCCATGTGAAAGGTTTTGTGTGGACATTAGATTTCACGTTATTTGGGTAAGTGTCAAGGAGCACGGTTGCTGGGTCGTATGGTAAAAGTATGTTTAGTTTTGTAAGAACCTGCCAAACTGTCTTCCAAAGAGGCTGTCCCATTTTGCACTTCCAACAGCAAGGAATGAGATTTCCTGTTTTTCCACATCCCTGCCAGCACTTGGTGTTGTCACTGTTTAGAATTTTATCCATTCTAATTGGTGTGTAGGGGTATTGTTTTAATTTTCAGTGCTCTAATGGCCTATGATGTTGAGCATCTTTTCATGTACTTTCTTGCCATCTGTGTATCTGATGTCTATTCAGATATTTTGCCCATTTTTAATTGGGTTGTTTGTTATCTTATTGTTGGGGTTTAAGAGTTCTTTATATGTTTTAGATACAAGTCCTGTATCAGATATGTGTTTTCAGATATTTTTCTCCCAGTGTGTGGCTTGTCTTTTGATTCCATTCAGACATTTGAGTTTTCAGGGGAGGAAACTGAGGCTCAGAAAACTGTGTGATTTGCTACAGGTTTCATGGCTAGTCGGTGCCAGAACGAGAGCCCCAAGTGCCTGATTCTTTTGTGCTGCGTGGTTGCCACTGAAGAAGCAGCTCTAAGATGCCCTGCTGGTTGGAATGCCGAGTGATGGAATTTTTATTTTTAAAAGGATTGCCCTCACTTTTATCTTCCCTGTCTAGGGCAGAAGAGATGAGGGTCTGAAAGTGGATGAACAGCTGGCCAAAGAGGATGCCCAGGTCGGTAACCGAGCAAAGAAAACATCTCCTTTAACGATTCTCCCTCCTGACTGCGTTCTCACTTCTATGGCACCAGCCGGGGTCATGCTCTCTCCTGTCCTGTCTGGAGGAGAAGCCTGACACCTGGGGATCCCCTAACCCCACCTTTCTTCCTTCCCCAGTGGTGGTTATTATTCCCCCGGCTCCTGCCACACAACTGTCAGATTTCCAGTCCAGTCACTAAAAGTGAGAGACACGGATTATCGATGATCTCAATGACCTGTAAAATAAACTTGCCCCTCTTCTCATTCCACCTCCTCAGAAAGAGACAGAATTGGGTCTGTAATAACATTTAAGTCTTCTCCCTTGTCCAACAGATTCTGTATAATGCTGGTGAGAACAAATGGGGCACGGATGAAGATACGTTCACTGAGATCCTCTGTTTAAGGAGCTTTCCTCAACTGAAACTGAGTATGGACTCGCATTACAATCCTTTTTTGCATTGTATTGTTTTGGCAAATATTTCAAGGTTTAACATACATAGTTCTGGAAAACGAAGTGAAAAATCGTGAAGGCCTGTCCCATTTTTATGTACAAACATTTCAGGAAACAACCTGGGGGGTGGGGGTGGGAGGGATGGCAGGGAGAAGAGAGGCACAGCTCTCCGGGGTGAGAGCAGAGAGGAGTGTTCCCGTGGGATGGAGGAGCCTGACGACACTGCTTCCAGCCCATCTCTTGCCTAGTTAGCCACTTTCCAGGAAAACTAGGCATTGCGGGTGAGTCTTTGTTAGTGCATTAATGCAGATTAACATTCAGCTTTTTCTGATATGAAGGTACATGGGTGAGGGGGAACACTTTTTATCAGACCAACTATTACATGGAACACCTCAGCACCCACCCCTTCACTCATGCATCTCTCTGAGTCATTCTGGAAGCAACGGCACCCAGAAGCCCAGATCTCCACTTACTAGGGACATCTGACTGTGGCTCCCCAGTGCTGGTCTAGAAAACAACCACAGTGATGACTACGCTTATGCCGAGTTCATGGGAAAATGAGGAAACTTGGGCATTAACATTTCATCCTTTTTATAAAACAGTGGCAGTAGTATATTATAGTTGCTTTATTGATGTCTTTATTTGAAAAATAAAGACCAAACAATCCTAGATCTCTCTCCAAATTTTCTTTTTTTGAAATTCACTTGGAAAAAATATACTTGGCTTACAAAGTATGCCTACATGCTCGGTGACGTATGTACAGGTTTTGCTTTTGGGCAAATGTTGATCAAGTACTTTGAATGCCTTCTAGTAAGTATGAAGTAGGCTATGCTGCCTTAGGGAATGATTGACTCAGCACAAAATCTTCATAATTAAGATTTCTTTAGCAGATTTAAAACATATTTGACTCATGACCAGATTATTGTTTCCCAGGTGCTGCTATAATTTAAAAGTAGCCCACCTTATTAGATAAATTATTTATCTGTTAACCTTTCAGGCTATTTTAAATGCTTACAGCCTGGGAATGGGAAGGGAAGAGAGGAGAGAGAGAGAGAGATGGATCATTGAAGAAAATAGCCTATGAAGTTCAGGTTTTATTGCAGATGACATTTTTTAAAAGTAATAAAAAAACAAAAACTTCTGTGCTGAGTTTTTGATGTTTTAAAGGAGTTTTTGAGCTTGCCACTTAATAACCTGATTTGCTGCCTATCAAATCAAAAACCACAATATATTCAAGTGTGGTCAACTGGGATACTTTAAATATTTTTGTGGTGCTGGTTTTTTTTTTTAGCATTTGATGAATACAGAAATATCAGCCAGAAGGACATTGAGGACAGCATAAAAGGAGAATTGTCTGGGCATTTTGAAGACTTACTGCTAGCCATAGGTAAGCCCCTGAGTGCTTATAAACTGAGTTACTTATAAGCTTATAAACTTATAAACTGAGTTACTTTGCACTTGTTTTAAATAAATCTCAAGATTAGCTCTTTTCGTCTCAGAATCCTGACTGATTTCATCCTTACGCTTCTCATAGACCTCAGCACCGTCCACGGTACACACAATATGCTCAACAAATATTGTTAAATGGATGCCGGAAGAAGTTATCTTTTTAGGTCTTCCTTTGCCTTTTAACTCTGTATTTGTCTTGTTACCACGTTTGGATCGTCAACTCCTCGAGAGATAAAAATATTACGTTCTTGCTGGCATTTTTATGGAGGCTGTCGAAAACACAGACCTAAGCCCATTTGGTAATTCATCATATTTGGTTATTTTTGGCAGTGGCCTCCCAAAGTTAAACTCAGGTCGGAAATACAGGTCTCCTCCCTCTTGGTGATGCAAACAGGGAATATCAGAAAGAAAATAAGTCACAGACTGAATCCGTTCCTGGAGAGACACATGGATTAACAAGCAGACAAAAACACGGTTATATAAGCTGATCTGTCTTCTCAATCAGGTCTCTGCAGTCTGTGCTTTCAGGAACCCAAAGAACACCTTGCAAGAAAGATTGCATTCAGATAAATGAGACACTCTTGGAAGACAGGATTCAGTGACCATTCTAGTCAGAGTCAGGCAATTAACTCTAAGTGCTCGTACACACACAGAATCCTAAAGAGCAATCCTAACTTGTTATGAACAATCCTAAGTTGTTCAGAATCCTAAATACCCAATGTTGGGTGGCTATTGGGCTTGCTCCAGGCTGCTTCTCCATTAATGCCAGGGTAAGAGTACCTGTACTCCACACAGCCTGTCATTTCGCCGATGAAAAATCATATCTAACGTCCATCATGATAATTAATAGCTTCTACGGTGAGTTAAAGATAGCTGATGTCTGAGGGTAACCTCCTCCGGGGTGAGCCTCTGATTCATCTTTCAAATGTGAATTACCATCTCTGGAGGGTGAACTCCCCATTAGGGTGCCTCAAATTGTATTTTTAAATAAACACTCATCAGGCACTCAGCATTGTGCTAACCTCTTTACAAATACCAACCCATTTAAGCCTCGTAACAGTCCCATGATTAGGGACTATTATTCCCCCCGTGGCAAACCTGAGGCACCGGAAGGTTAAGTTCCTTCCCCAAGTTACCCAGGGAAAGTGTGGTAGAGCTGGAATTCTAACCTAGGCACTTGGGCTCCACAGTCTATGGGCTCCACAGTCAACCAACCCCTCCAATGTGCTGCAGCGTAAACAGAGGCTGAAACCTGCATATATCACACAGTCCATGCTCAACTATTGATATTTTAAATTGCAGAAAATATCGCAGGGAGCAAGCACTCACTAAAGTCTGGGCGTTTCCTCCACATATGTTATTTCATTTAACTTCTGAGCCTCTCTTCAGTGCCAAGAATAGGACTGTTGATCCAAATGCCGCTTAAAATATATGACTCTGATTGATTTGCTAAAAGATAGGCCAAGAAGGAAAACAAGCTTCTTCTTCAATTAAAAAATATGCATCAGGGACTTCCCTGGCAGTCTAGTGGTTAAGACGCTGCACTTCTACTGCAGGGGGAACAGGTTCAATCCCTGTTCGGGGAACTAAAATCCCACAGGCGTACAGCGTGGCATGGCCAAGAAAAAAAAAAAAGGAATTAGAGATCAGCCTCCATAATTAGCTGTGAGAATATTCCAGTGGCAATGATATAGCCAGTTAATTTTTTTCCGTTTCTTTTTTTTAATATTTATTTGGTTTTTATTTGTTTTTTATGTTTTAATTTTTTTGGCTGCATCGGGTCTTAGTTGCGGCACGTGGGATCTTTCGATGTGGCGTGCAGGCTCTTCACTGTGGCGTGCGGGCTTCTCTCTAGTTGTGGTGCGCGGATTTTCTTTGTCCAGTTGTGGCACACGGGCTCCAGAGTGCATGGGCTCAGTAGTTGTGGCACGCGGGCTTAGTTGCCCCATGGCATGTGGGATCATAGTTCCCTGACCAGGGATTGAACCCATGTCCCATGCATTGGAAGGCGGATTCTTTACCACTGGACCACCAGGGAAGTCCCTCCATTTCATATTTTAATCTTTACAACAATTTTGCTGCTTTTTACCTTGCCTGCTGTAATATTTGAAAAACTTTATTGAGATGTACAAATTCTCACTTCATTGAGCTAAGAAGCATTTTTGGAAATAGACATTGAATTATGCACTAAATTAGGGCTATAATATACATTGTTTTATCAAGTAAAAGAAAGACCTTATAATTTAAAGTTCAAGATATGTCACACTTTCATTTTCTATTTCAGTCTACCATTGGAATACAACAGTTTTTTTGTTTTAATCTTTATTGAGCTATAACTTAAGTACCATAAAACTCACCCAAAGTGTGCAATTCAGTGCTTTTTAGTGTCTTAACAGAGTTGTGCAACTGTCACCACTATCTAAGTTGAGGATATTTCCATCAGCCCCCAAAGAAACCCTGTGCCCCTTGACAGTCACTCCCCACTCCTCCCCAGCCCCCAGCCCCTGGCAACTACCAGTTTACTTTCTGTGTTGATAGATCTGCCTGTCCTGGCTATTTCATATACAAGGACTCTAATACAGTATGTCAACGCGTAGCTTTTGACGTGAAAAACCGTCTGAGTTCTAACATCTTAGAAATGCATGGTGGCAAGATTGCTAGCTGTCAGATCTGGACTTAGATAAGGAGAGGCTTTATTCAAAGAGACTATTTCAATAGGGAGAATAGTTGAGTCTCAGAAACGTACAAGAGTCTGAAAATCAAACAGAAAAAGCTTTTCTTTTATGGGGAGGAGATAAACAGACCTCAGCAGAAACTTTCAAAGGGAAGTTGGACAAGCAAGGCGGCATAATCGTTGGGGGTTGACAGGAAATGTGTCTCGCTGTGTCAACTGGTTCTCAGGACCAGCTGAAAAGGGGACACGTTCTGCATTTCAACACCTGCTCAGGCTGGGGGGCCAAGCTAGGGTTCAGGGGCCTGTGTGGGGGAGGGGAGAGGCCTGAGTAATGGTCAAGAGAACACAGAGGGTAAGAAGCGGGCAGCTGTGAACACTGGGTCATCATAATGAACTTCAGTGGACTCCCTGATTCTTAGGAATTTCCCTGAGTTTCCCTGCTGGGGTTGGGTCTTAAAGCAAGCTTCCTTATACTGCATATGCCACCATCTCCCCAAATATTCCTGAGGAACAAATCGTGTGTTTAAGAACATAAAGCGGAGAACAAGGTAAAGGGTTATGAAAAGAAAGGATTCTCTGCGTTTAGTCTGGGGTGAAGGAGATGATTGAAAAGCTTAATAGCTTAAAAGTGGGCATAAAACTTTCAATCAAATGATTAAGGCTTGCCGAATATTACTTTGAGAAAAAAACAGGTAATATCAATTTGCATCCTTGATTTCTTCTCAGACAGCTTCAAATCTGTAACTGTTTTCATGTTTCTCCCAGATTCCATGTTTCTAATATATTTCTCTTTCTGTTTCCCTTAAATCACTTACACAAAAGGCCTTTTAGCTTTCCTTAAGAGAGTCTGAAAGGCGTCATGAGAAAGTCACTATTCTTGTTCTGTTCTCCAAAATTCATTATAAAATTCCTTCACTTTGGGTCAGATTCCTACCTAGAGATCAGATTTAAGATGATAAAAATAATTGTGTTGCAATAAATAGATTTATTCCCTACAGACTTTTCTAGTCCTGGCTGTTTTCACGTTACTTAAAGAATAATTAATTTGCTTATGTTTTTGCCTGTTATCTTTTCCTTATTCTGCTTTACTTGTTATTTCAAAATAAAGAATTGAAAGATGGTAGTATTTTTTTGATGACTGAATTTAAATTATAGGTGCTGGTTCTAATGCAATTAATCAACCTATAAATTCTAATCCAGTCATTTAAGAGAAAATCTTTCCATTGGAAAAACTGGTTTTAAACTGAGCTGCAGTGCCCTTGCTTACCTAATGTGTTATTTGGAGCAACACCTCTGCAGTCTTTAGACCCAAGCTATTCATCAGTAGTCAAAGATGCTAGAAATGGAGCAATGGTACACCCTAGGGAGTTATCAATGTAAGCGTAGGTGTTGGTGTGTCTGGGATCTGGAAATGAGTCAGCGGCTGTGAGAGTTTCTTTGGCAGGTAATTTTATTTTCCCTGTGGCTAAGGATAATTACTGTGCTAAAGTTCCATGCAAGTATGACATTATACGGCTTTGAAATTCAGGTTAAGCATTCATTCACTCTTTCATTCTAAAGAAAAGCCAGGAATGGGGAGGAGAGTGGTATGGTTACTTAAAAAAAATTTTTGCAAACGTATTACTGTAGATTAACTCAATTTCTATTAAATGAAACTGAACATTACTTTGCTTTTTTATAACAGTCTGTTGTGCAAGGAACACGCCTGCCTTTTTAGCTAAAAGACTGCACCAAGCTTTGAAGGTTGGTCTGGAAACTTCATATATATTCTTAACTTGCCTCAAGGAGAATGTAAAAATATTGCTTAATGGTGATGGAATTTCGTATTTCTTTTCCACCTTGATGAGTTCTCTTCTGTAGCTAATGTGTCTACTAATTTGGCTCATTGGTTGTTAGTGAGTATCCTCATCATTACAGACGTAGGTACACTGAAGTGTTGAGTAAATCATTTCCCCCACTTCACAGTAATGCGGGCAGTCGACTTGTTTTAGGATGACAGACCTCCAGCGTGAGCCAGTAGCCTCTCAAGCTGCCTTACTTAAACCAAACTGCGTCAGCGGCCTTTCATGATACAGAAACACTGTGTTTTCTCGTCTGCTGCCACTGCCGGTTGGGGAGCTCCAGGAATCTGTTCAGGAGGTTTTCTTGCTCTTTTATGTCTTTAGACCCTCATACTGAGCCTGGCACATAGAAGGTGCTTACTTCAGGTTCTTCCTGGACATTTCCTGTGGAAGTCCATGTGCTCCTACAAGGCTGTGTCCAGAGCAAACACATCATTTTCCTCACCTCACCTCCCACCTGAGTCTTGCCCCCCATCCTGCGTTCAGTCATCTCAGTGGATAACCCCAGCAGGAACTAGCCTTGCCCAAGTCGCTGACGTTATGCCTTTCCTCCCCAGCCTTGTTCCTACCCATCAGCCACAGCCTTCTTTCTGTTTCTTGACTGTGCTGAGCCTCTTCCCATGTCAGGGTCTTTGCATGTGTCGTCCTCTTTCCTCCAGGTCTGCCTATGGCTGTCTCCTTCTCATCTCTGAGGTCTCAGCTCAAATGTCACCTCCTGGGAGAGGTCTTCCCTCACTACACCGGTCAGCTGGCTTCCTTTCACTCACACTCCATCCCATCATTCTTATTACCATGTACTTGAGCAACTTGTTCATTGTCTTTACTGTCCATCTCCATCTATTAGAACATAAACTGCATGAGAACAGAGATATCATCTGTGTCGTTCACTACCATATGCACAGCACATGGCACAATGTCTGGCACATAGGAGGTGCTCAATAAGCATTTGTTGAATGAATGAATAAATGAATAGTGTCAATATTCACCTAACCGTTCAGCGAGAAATGTTACACTTCCCTCTCCTTCATTCTCCTCAGATGATATATCATTAAGTTTTGTCAATCAACCTTTATGAGCATCTCTTCAGTCTATCCATTTTCTCCATCCCTACTGCCATTATTCTAGGTCAGGCCATCATCATCATCATCTCTCTGTCTCTGTCTCTGTCTCTCTGTCTCTCCCCTTCTCGCTCTGGTTATGTAATCATCTCTGGATGGGTCCCAAAGCTTCTAGTCTTATTCTGTTATCTTCATCCCACCCTTGCCCTGCAGTCCATTCTTCATACTGTTGCTGTCAAAGGAATTTTCTGAAACCACAAATCTGATCTGATCTCAACACTCTCATGTTTAACAGATTGCAGTAGTTCTTCACACTTGGGATAAAGTCGAATTTCATTTCACGGTTTACAAAGTCTGGCCTTTCTAGACATATTTCTTGCTGTTCCTTCTGATTATTTATGTTCTTGCCCTAAACCATCACACATGCTGTTTCCTGTGTAGGAACACTTGTTTTCCTCTCTGTAAGAACTCCATTCCTTCTTCCCCTGGCTGATTATTTAGGCCCCAGCTTCAATACCACTTTCTCAAACAGACCTTTCCTAATCTTTGATCTATCTTAGGCCTCCCGAGCATATGCTCCCGTAGTACCCAGTCGTTCCCATATGTCAGGTTTTATTGTAATGGCCCATTTTCTCGCCTGTATCCTTTACAAAATTGAAAGTTTAACCGGGGCATCTCATCTCTGTTTTCAGCATTTGACAATGTGATGGCACAAAGTGCTCAATAAATATTTCTTGAATAAATGGATGTTGATGTTTGATGAAAAATGAGTGAAGGAGAGTCACTGTGGTTGAATATTTTGTGTACCATTATCTATGTCCTGTAAATATAGTTCTATATGTTGTTTTGTGTGAGCAATGAGATTGGTATTGTGGACACTTGCATTTCTCAACAGGGTGCTGGGACTGATGAGTTTACTCTGAACCGAATAATGGTTTCCAGATCAGAAATTGACCTTTTGGACATTCGAGCAGAGTTTAAGAAGCAGTATGGCTATTCCCTACATTCAGCAATTAAAGTAAGTCTCTTCTTATAAATAGCAAAACATATCATGCCTCTCTCTACCCATCCTTTTTCCCTTATAATTCTCAAAACATGGAGATATGTGACTTAGGTTTCTCTCTCTCGTCAGTGTGTAAATGTGTTTTCTGAGTTTAAAAGAGTAATAACAAAATATCCCTTAAAGACAGTGATTATTTTTCAGCTCTAAGATCCCAGGCACATAAAAGACACTCAACATTTTTTTCAGGTTTAGTGGCCACTAATTTTTCTTCTTTTGTGAATTGCATATGCACGTTGCTTCTATTTTTTATATTGCAGTATTTTAATTTATTTCAGTTTTTCTTTCTGACAATAGAAGAAAAGTACGTATTTAAAATTTCTTCTTTGTTTGACTCAAAAGATAACATCGTTCTGCACCTTGGAGTTCTTTTTATTTCAGGATATAGGAAGCTTTCTCATTCTTTTTAACAGCTGCATATCATTCCATTATTTGTATATTTGTACCTACCACATCAACAGATGTTTCAAGTTTCTTGCTGTTATAAACAACGCTGCAATACGCATATACAATTTCATAAGGTACAAGTGTACCTGAGGGATAAGTTCTCATGAGTTGGTAGGATTGCTGAGACAGATGTAAATATATCCATAATTTTGGTAAATATTACCAGTTGACTTCCACTGCACCTCAGTTAGTCAACTAGATTCATTCACCAAAATCGTTTTTGTTTTTTGTTTTTAATGAGAGCCGTTGTTTTTGCACTAAACCTTTGCAGGAAAAGATGCATGCCTAAGTTGAAATAGAAAACTTATTCAAAAAGGCAGCTGTCAGGCTGTGCCTGGGGCTTAGCACAGATTCCATCAACTGCTCATACTCAACGAAATTTGAATCGATCTGACACATTACAATAGTTTCGATCAACAGAGAAAGATACAATAACGTTAACCAAATTGTTTTTACCAAGGCAGAAAAGGAGAGGCATATGTTTTATAAAGATTGCCAGTAACAAGGTTGAAACACGAAGAAAGCCTTCAGTTCACCCTTGGCAAACTAGGAAATTCAGTTAACTGGTAGCTCTCCCTGCCCCCCTCCATGGTCTGGGTAATTGAGGCTTATTGTATTAGGAAACATTTAAGCAACGTGTATCTTGACAGAAAAGAAAAAGCCATTGCTGCAGAGTTCAGTGTGTAATTTAAAATTATCTAAGGTTTCTTCACTTCTGTCACCTAACATACATTATCAAGTAATCTCATTACGTTTTCAAGACTGACGAATAGGATGTTTTCGATGGTTAAAATTCTGTAATTCAGGAGCTAGAGTTCCATTTTGTATATCATCTCAGCCTTGGGTTCCTCTTCCTTCCGCCTTTAATTTAGACATTTCTCTGCTCATTAACACCTTTCTCAAATGATGACTGGAGGGGAGGAGAAGAGGAAGAGAGTAGGTGAGAACAAATCTGTATTTCTTAATAATAGGATCTTAATTTAAAAATTGGATGAAATTACAGTTTTTGGTAGATTTCCTTTATCAACAAGTTGAGTAGCTATTTAATAAATAGCATAATTCCAGGGTCTTTAAAGGAAAATATAATAGCTACCCTCAATAATTCATAATCTATGTGGAGACGGAGGTGGGCATAAATAAAACAATTACAAGATGATAATATGAGTTACCACAGTATTCTGCCTAATAATATTTCATATTGATAGTACATACTAAAACGTGAGATTATAAATGCAAAAAATTTTTTTAAAAAAGAAAGAATAAAGTGGCTGACATAAAGAAATAATATGGGGCTTACCTGGTGGTGCAGTGGTTGAGAGGCCGCCTGCCGATGCAGGGGACACGGGTTCGTGCCCCAGTCCGGGAAGATCCCACATGCCGCGGAGCGGCTGGGCCCGTGAGCCATGGCCGCTGAGCCTGCGCGTCCGGAGCCTGTGGTCCGCAACGGGAGAGGCCACAGCAGTGAGAGGCCCGTGTACCGCAAAAAAAAAAGACGTTTGGGATTAGATAGGGAATATTTCTTGGGAAATGGGTCTTGAGCTTGCCTTTCAGGTGAATAAGCATGTGTTAAGTGCCTCGCATGAGCCAGGTGCTATGCCGGTCAATAGGGTCTCAAAGGGGAATGCTCTAGAAACATATATATGATGAGAAGTAGGAGGATAAGAATCAGGCACTTGATTGATTAGGAGTCTACCTTGGGAATATGGAAAAATAAAATCTGAGTGGCAATATGCATTCAGTTGAAAGGAAGACTTGAGATCACAGAATTCGTATTCCATTCATTCCATTTAAAATATTTACTGAATGTATATTATGTGCCAGGTTCAGGATTACAATTATAAGTAAAGAAAAAAGTTTTCTGTCCTTATGGAATTAGAAATAAATGTAAAATTACAACCATGTTCAATGTAAAGGAGATTGTGCTATAAGATCACATAACAGAAGGATTTGACCTATAGGAAGGTTATGATTCAGATCTAAAAATGACTAGACTTAACAAGGCGAAGGCTGTGGGGGTCAGAGGTCAGCAGAGCCTTCTAACAAAAGGAATTGCAAGTGGAAAGATCTCGTGGTGGAGGAAACATTAATGAAAATTGAGGCTGGCGGGACCAGATCATTCAGGACTTTTTCTGACAATGTCTAAGGATTTTGTCTTGCTTAAGAGCGATGGGAGGCCAGTGAAGTGTTTAAATTTTAAGCACATAGTGTCATGACCAGAAGTATATTTAGAAAAGATCCCTGTGACTGTGGAGAATGAATTGGACATAAGATAGAAGGTATGTGGGGTGATGAGTTACTATATTCGTCATATTAGAGTAGCTCTGACTGTAACACAAAATAGTGATGCAAAGCTACTGGTGATACAAAAGGAGGAAAGAGCAAGGACTCTAAAGATATCTAGGAGTTAAAACTTAAGGGACTTGGAATGAACATCTTGGTGTGAGGAGAAAGGAAGGGAAGGAGTCGAGGATGACTCCCAGGTTTCTAACTCCCAGACTCATAACAAACGTGGCATCTTGTACTGTAAGCCTCAATCTCACCTGGTATCTTTTCTGAACCAAGATCCTTTTTTGGCTAGCCTAGGCGAGAGGAACTGGGAAACATACTCTGTGGGGATGTAGTTCATTTCACTTTCTTAAGTCAGGAAGTATAGTTTGGTGTTAAGGAGCCAGGTTAACTGGGTTCGAATCCTCCCTCTGCATTTATTCTCTATATAGTTTGGGGCAAATTTCCCCACCTCTGTTTTTGTCGTTTTACTTATCTGTTAGGTGGAGCTACTATGGTATCTACTGTACAGAGTTATTATAAGGGTTAAAGGAGTTAACCCTTAGAAGAGCAAGTGTTAGATAAATACTAATATAAATATTATTAAAACTATAATTTCCTAAAGTTTTGTGAGAAAAATAAGATTATGTAATATTAGGTAATTGATGCACTCATTTTTTTTAAACCCAAATTGAAATTTAATTGCAGTATATCAGGAAGAATTTAAACATCATATATTATAAAGAAGATGCTAGGCTGGAACAGGATTACACTCAGGTGTGAATGGGTGATGGAATTACAGGTGCATTTCACTAAATGGTACAGGTCATGAGCCTTACACGCCAGTGAATCCCCTAGTGCTGTGCGATTTGATTCATTCATGGTCCCCTCATTATTTACGCCATGTCTGTCCTTCTCTCCATCGGTCCTGTCCCTTACAGTCAGATACTTCTGGAGACTATGCAATCACACTCGTAAAGATCTGTGGAGGAGATGACTGAGTCAAGAATGTCATTTCTAAAGGCTGCCTGCTCCCATGACGGACTTTTCCCACAGCTCTAATTACTTCTTTCTCGCAGTATCTACAAGTACAAGCAAGTGTCAAGAGCAACCTGTTTTCCTAATAGAGATTTTCATTGTTCCATAATAGTAACAACAACAAAGTGATTATTATCGTAGAACATCTCATCATAATGTAGCCGTTTATAAATGAAATTTTTAAATGACATTAAGGATCAGCTAATACTATCCAAATTATGTTTCTGCTTTGGAAGTGAGACTCTTTGTTCAGTTCTAAAACATAAAATGCAAGACAGTGTAATACAAGTTCTTGCCTCTGTAAAAGGTAGTCTGTTGTTATCATCAACCAGCATTGTTTGGTACCCGGCACTGACAACTAATGATATTTTAAAACATGTTTTGGTTATAAAGCTTTTGCTGCTTCCATTTGTCTACCGTCTTATTAATCACATTCATCCTTAAGAAAGGAATAAAAACGAAGATGTATGTACTCCTGGCTTCCCCTTTCTCGTCTGATCAAGCTAGAGCAGTGGCAATACATAATAATTTATTTCAGAAAACATCTGCTGAACTACTGATCTAACCATTGCCCATCTGAATGGCAGCACAAATTGTGGTCGTTTCATGTTAAATACTACTTTCCCAGAAGGGGTGTTTAGAATCAAGTTTCTAAGATATGCTTTTCCTCTAAAATAAGTTGGCAAAACTACACATTTCAACAAATCTTTCATGTTACCTTTGAAAGGGACCTAGGATGAAATACCTAGACTAAAAGGAAATATATAAGGTAAAAAATTCTAGTTGGAGTTATTAGTCTGAACTAAAATAGAAATGATAGCTGTATGAGAAACAGTGATGTCCAGGACTTTTAATCAGTGGATTCCACTGGTCAGCATTTCTGAGACCTTGCAGAAAGATGGAGAAGTTATTTCTCATTCTGAGATTTCCAAAATGCATATGGGAACAAAGCACAGGGATTTAGAATCCACATACCAGGTTTTGACATCCTGCCCTACCATTTACCACCCTGTGATGCTGGGAACTATGAAACCCTGCTAAACCAAAGTTGTCTCATCTTAACAGCACTTACCTCTCTCATAGGTTTGTTTTTTTAAAAAAAAAGATTAAGTGAAATGATGCCTGTGAAGCACTTAGCCCTGTGCCGGGACATGGCAAGTGTTCAGTTACCATGTTATCATTTATTATTACCCAGCAACATCAAAATGATCACGACAGCATTGCAACCATTCTTCAATAGACTTCAGTTCACCTACCATGTGACACACCCTGTGCTAAGTTAAGTGTTGGGTACACCAGAGGAACGAAGACTCGTTTCCTTTGCCCAAAGAGCTTAAAATCTGTTTAGGGAGAGAGACCAATGTGGTGGAGGCTTAGAGTACAAGGGGAGGTGACCGGTGATAGGCAGGGGCTAGATTATGAAGGTCTCACAGACCATGCTAAAGAGTTTACAAGCAAGGGAGAGTCATGGAAGGAGCATTCAAGGAGGATTTCAATCAGGGAAATGATTTTTTGGTCAAATTTTTGATCAAGGAAGAGGAATGTGTGGGAGAAGAAAGCTAAAGGCAGGGAGCCCACTTGGCAAATTAATTTTCTAATCAATACTAGACGCGTCAGTCTGAGCTAAGATAATGGCAAGGGAGAAAAGGTGGGGGGGAATATACACACTCAAGAAGTATTTAGGAGGTAAAATTGACAGAACACAATAATCAAAAGGGTCAGGTGTCAAGTATACCCTCACGATTTTGGCTTAAGTGATTTGGTAAGTAAGTGTCTCACCAAGCAATAAATCATTGCTAATACTCATTGAGTGCTTACTGTATATCAGGCACTATGTTAAACAGTGTAGTATATGATAAATCATTAATCCTCAAGGAACTTTCCAATGTAGGCGTTAACTCACAGATACAGGAATGGAAGCTTAGAGAAATTAAGTAACTTGCCCATTGGAAGAGCCAAGATTTAAACCCAAGCAGCCCAACCCACAGTATCCAGGCTATTAACCACTATTTTGCCTTAGAATTTATCCCACTCCAAGGCCACTGTTCTTTTCAACCCTAGAACTTAGTTATTGGCATGCAGGGATTTTTGTCTGTTGCATTCACTGCTATATCCCTAGTGTTTAGAAAGTGCTTGGCATGTAAAAGGCACTTATCTATAGCATTGCATGTCATGTATTTTATTTATTTTGACTGCTACATATCACTCCATTGTGTAAGTCATATATTCATAAGTATAATTTCTAGGAGGCCACAAGAGCCCTGGGGAAAGTAGGGGAAGCATCATTTTATCTGGATCCCTTCCCTTTGTGCTTCTTGAAGTGATGGTGCCCCACTATGGCTACAGAAGTAGCCTTCATCTCCAGTCAGTAAGGGGCAGAGTGTAACATGAAAAACACAAAACTAGGAAGGCCTTGGGTTTTTCTCTTTAACGGGTTCTGATCACCAATTTCCCATGTTGGGCAGCGGTTGGGGTGGAGATGAAGATGGCGAGTGGGTCCCACACCAAGAAGCAATGCTCTGATACCAGCTGGATGTCCTGCAATTCAGCTCAATTCTGACACTGTCTACCTGGTGCTAGCAAACCCCATAGGTTAAGGGCTCAGTCCTATAAGACTACCCCCCTCTTCAGGTACCAGTCAAGGTTGTCACCTGTGCTTCTGACTGGCTAAAGATTGGAGTTTCCATCAACCTCCACCTTGGGTGTGACCAATTTGTTAGAGTGCTTCACAGAACTCAGGGAAACCTTTACATATGTTTAGCAGTTTATAATAAAAGAATATGGGAAAGGATACAGATTAACGTCTAGATGGAAGGGATGTGTAGGGCAAGGTGGGTGGGAAGAGGTGTGGAGCTTCCATGCCCCATCCAGGCCCACCCCCCTCCATCCCCCCTGCCCAGTACCTCCATGTGTTCACCAGCCCGGAAGCTCTCCGAACCCCAGACTATTGGAGTTTCATAGAAGCTTCATCACATAGGCTTGAGTGATCATTAA